GGTGGGATCCCAGCCCCTCCATCCCCCAGGTCCCCCCATCCCCCGGCAGCGTCCCCCCGGAGCCCGCCGGGCTCGCTCACCCTCCGCCGCGCAGCCGGAGCGCGTCCCTGCGGCGGGCCGGGCCCATGGCGCCCGCCCGGCCCCGCCGGCCCCGGGACACGCTGGCTGCGCCCGCCGCTCCCCCTTCTCCCCCGGAAACACGGCCCCGCTCTCTTCCGCCGACGGGGCGGGACGGAGGCGGGACCGGCCCCCGGGGACATCCCCTCCATCCCGCCCCACCGCCGGGGCTCCTCCGGAAACCGCGGGGACACCCCAGCACATCCCCTGCAGGTGCCGGGGAGCGCAGAGCCCCGCCCGCGGCTCCCTCACGATCCTCCCAGGACTGCCTCCCTGCACCCCCACCAACCCAGTCCCAGTTCCTTCAGCACCCCCCCGCAGCAGAGCCCCCCTTCCCTCCCCATCAGACAGAGTCAGAACCACGGGTGGTGTCAGTCCTTTAATGCCCCATTCGCATCCCCCTCCCCTCAGCCCCTCATGTTCACACCTGCCCCAGGCAGCACAGCAAGTCCCAGCAAACACAGAGGGATAGCTGGAAAACCCGGGGAGCAACCTCCAGGCTCCCACACCGCAGCTCTGGGGAGCCAGCAGGCATCACCCCCCCCTCAGTCCAACCTGTGGGAGGCCAAGGGCCAGGCAGGGGTTACAGCCAGCCAGACAGGTAAGAAAATACTTCTGGTAGTTCTCAGAAACAGCATTTAGAAACCACAGTTTTTTTACAGCGCCCCATAAAAAAAGATGGGTTTGGGCACAGGTGCTCCACTAGTAGAAACGCTTGTTCCGCTCCTGGCGTTTCTGGAAGACCACGGCTCCCACCACAGCGCAGACAATGATGCCCAGCAGTGCACAGAGCAGGAGCAGGAACACCTTCCAGCCTGTCAGTGGCCCGCTCCGGAAATTCCCCGTTGGGTCATCCACGTTGTCTGGAAGGGAAAGAACAATTAGAGAGACCAACAAAACCTCGGCTCCTGCGGAGTTTTGCCAGGTGTCGCGCCTTCAGTGCCTTCCAGAGTCCAGCCCCGACATCCCAATCCCCCACGGAATGTTTCCAAAGCCCACAGGCTCACCTTTGGGGGATTTAAGGAGGCTGACTTTTGGCTCAATCTTGGTCCAGTCAACACTCTCATCTTCTACAGGGTGCTCCACCATGAGCTGGAACAGCTTCATCGAGATAATGTCATGGTTGTCTGGGGAACAACCATGAGCACCAAACACCATCAGAAGCTCTGAGATGTCCACACACTCGGAACACCCTTCAGACCGTCCTCTGCCACATCCAGCCTCCTTCCCTCTCAAGCCACCCTCATCCCCAGGTATCAAACTGCAATCCAAAGATGTTCCTTAGCTCTCAGGTGCCTCTTTTCCCCAGCCATGGGTCCAAAAAGGGTTTCAAGAGCCCAGTGAATAATTCAGAGAAAGGAAGCCATGGAAACTATCCAGTACATCCAGTGTTACAATCACAGAATTTTTAGGGTTGGAAGGGAGATCTGGAGATCCAACTCCCCTGTTGAGACAGGGTCACTTAATCCAGGCTCCAACCACCACGTGTTTCCCTGAGCAAAGCCCCTCTCACCAGAGAGATCTCCAGTGCCAGCAGAAGCACCAAAGAAGTAGCCAGTTGGCAGCTGCACCCCTGCAATGTCAATGCAGTTCTTCCATTCATTCTTGTCTTCCACGTCAGTCATCACCTGCAAAACCAGGAGAGGGTCACAGCAGGAATGTTCAGAACCATGGGACAGGGTCCAACCTCCCTGCTCAAGCAGGGCCCTCCCAGATCAGATAGTGTCCAGATGATTCATTAGTATCTCCAGTGAGGGACACTCCACACCCTTTCCAGGCAATCACTTTTGGCACACCACTATCGCACCTGGCTGCACCTCTTTTGGAGCTGGAGGTGCAGAGAGGCAGTGGCTGAGCCTGGAATACCATCTCCAGCTCCTGGTAGAGCCAGCCCTGCCCCACCTGAAATGCAGGCCCCCTGTGGGTCTCACCGTGAGCCGGCCCCGGGAGTAGCGCACGGCCAGGAAGGTGTCGTGGTTCTGGTTGCGCAGGTCAGCGGAGCACCCGGCCAGTTCCGTCCAGCGCCCGTCCTTGCTGTGGTCGTAGGTCAGGGAGCCGTTGTTGACCATGGCCGAGATGTAGGGGAACACGCGCTGTGGGGACAGACAGCGCCTGCTGGAGCTCCCAGGGGCACAGCCAGAGCCGCACAGGGAGCACGGCACGGCGGCAGGGCCATGGGCAGCCACGGAGCACAGGACCACAACACCAGGGCTGCTTCTCCACCTAAAGCTGCTTCTGAACCAAGCCAGAGCTGCCTAAAGCAGAGCCACCCTCTCTGACCTCCCATTTCAAGACCCCCATCCTGTGATTCTGTGAATAAACCCACTCTGTACTCCATGGCCAGGGCAAACAGACTGTCCCACACTTGCAGAGCGGCTGGGTAAAAACCCCAGGATCATTTAGGTTGGAAAAGACCTCTGAGGACATTCAGTCCAACCTGTGACCAATCCCCACCTTGTCAGCTAGCCCTGACTGCCACATCCAGTTGTTCCCTGAGCACAAGACCCAGAACAGACAAAAATCTCACATAAGCAGCAAAACCATGCACAAGGTTTTTGTGAACAGGGGATTACCTACACCAGAAGATGACAACTGGAAGCAGGAATTTACCTCCCATGAGCATCAAGACAACAGGGACATGGGTCACTTCCAGGTGCTTTATGACTGAAGTATCACAGTTTTGATGGTACAAACCCCAAAGCAGAGTTTTGTTTTCTCACAAACACAGAGCAGGACTGAAGAAAAGGACCCCCAGCCCTTACAGGACTGATCTGTCTACGGCCATGAGAAATTCTGGAGCAAAAAGGCAGCCCAGGAGTTTCTTTCAGGCACAGACGGGTTGCAAAGAGAAAATGAGGGCAGAAACATCATGGAATGAGTAGTATCCAAAGCACAGAGGTCAAGGAATGACAGGATGAACATTAGCAGGTGATGCTGGGGTTACACCAGCTCTGTGCCTGCTCTCCTGTACAGAGATGATGCCTTGGAAACATCTGTGTAGCCAAGAGCAGCACAGCAAAGAGCAAGGAGCTTCTTATCTCCATTAACACACACAAACTCTTCTCTTTACCAACTCCCAGGACAGGAAGAGCAAACCATACTCAGCTAAGGAGAGACTTTTCCTTGGATCAGGTGAGAAGCACTTGGAGCAGGAAGGGAACAGCTTGCTGGGCACTGCACAAGCAGCCAGGACCACTCACCTCTGTTGCTTCATCATTAGGATAGGTATCAAGGAAAATAGCCAGTCCATGGAAGTTGTCCTTGCTGCCAAAAACAGGACCTGGAACAGGGCAGAAGAGTGGAAAGAAGAAGAGACAGAAGTAAGTCAGAATTTGTGCTCAGAGAGTTCTGTGCTGTACAAGCTGCTCAGTGCCAAGCAGGTGGCTGAGGGCACCTGCTGCCCGGGCAGAACACACGGGACACGTCACCCCAGCCTAGTGAAACCAGAGCGGGGGAGCTCAGAGGCGCTCCCTGGCCAGCTGCCTTCCGGGCCGGTGCCGTGTGCTGCGGGCCAGGGCACTGACCTGGCGTCAGGCGCTCCTGCGTGTACCACAGCGCCAGCCCATCCCCGTGCAGGTTCTTCTTGCCGGCTCCGTGGATCTTGAAGTGGACGTGGAGCTCCCAGTCCTTGAGGAAGCAGGGCTGTGGGAGAAACCCCAGCGGCGTCAGGGCATGAGGCGGCAGGGCCGTCCCGAGCCCCCGCTGTCCTCCCCCGGCCTCTCACCACGCGGTTCCAGATGGAGCCCTCCCGACTGCGCTCGTCGGGCGTCAGGCGGACGTACTGGCTGGTGACCATGGTGCTGCCCTGGAAGTCCCACAAGGGCATCGCGGCGGAGCCCGCACCTGCAAAGGGGCGAACAGAGCGCGGATCAGCCCGGGCCGCTCGCGGGGAGCCCTGCGCGTTCCCCCGGCCTCGTGCTCACCCTGGTACGGCTTCATCAGCGAGTGCTCCCGCTTCAGGTGCTCGCTGTTGCCATCCGTGAGCTCGGCGGGCACCGGGCGCGGCCCGGCCAGGGCCAACAGCAGCGCGGCCGCCGCCACCAGCCCGCCCGCACCCGCCGCCATGCTCCGCTTCCGCCTTCCGGCGCTCCGCCCTCAGCCCCGCCTCGCAACGGCAACAGCCAATTAAAAACCGTCGCTTAGCGTGGTCCCGCCCCTGGGCGTGAGCGGCATCACTGCCCGCCTATTGCAGGGGAGAAGGGCGGGGCCAGCGGGGCACGCAGCTCCCGTTGCGCGGCGGGAGGAGGGAGGAGGGGGCCGAACGGCCTCCCGGCGGGCGCCACGCGTGCGCGGCGGCGCGGGGCCTGCCGGGAGATGTAGTCCGCCCGCCTTCCCTGGGCCACCTCACGTGCGCGCCTCGTGCCGCCCGCGGGACACGTGACCTACCTCGACGGGTCCCGGGAACGGGAACGGCTTCGGGAACAGCCCCGGGAGGGGCCCGGGGAACGGCCTCGGGAACGGCCCCGCGAGCCTCGCCGGGCCGCACAGCAGGAAGGACAGGCCGAGGCAGTGTGGACATCACAGCAGCTTTATTGAGGCTCGCAGGGCAGCCCCGCGCCGCTCCCGCCGGTCTCCCCCATCCCTCCGCCACGGCAGCCGTGGTGACCCGGGAGCAGAATCTCCCAGCCCTCCGGATGGGCACATCCAGCCAGGCCACAGCAGCCCCGGCTGGGACACAGCGCTTGTCACAGGGGTACAGGGACCCCGCGGTGGCACTGGGCAAGGACATCCCTCCGGGTCACTGGTCCCGTCTTTGTGCCTGCCCTGTGCGCACATGGGGGCTCCTCTGGCCAGCGGGAGGTGCTGAGCAGAGGCTGTCCCGAGCCACGGGACAGCACCAGTCCCATCCTGGAGGAGCACGGGGGGACACAGAGGTGTAGCCAGTGCCGTGTCGGGGTGCGTGGTGTGCCCGGGGCACTGTGGGGGTCACAGCAGCCCCTGCGGGGTGTGACAGCAGCGTGGGTGGACAAGTCCTGGGCAGGTTCTCATGCTGGAGGTGTGCAAGCCCTCAACACAGTGGGACACGTGCTTCCCTCCAAAAGCACGGGGACTGCAGGGGAGTCAGGGGCTGTGAGGAGCCCGTGGAAGCCCAGGAGGCAGGGAGAGGGGAAGCCAATTGATTAGTGGAAGACTGGGTGGGAAAATCATCAGAACATGGCAATCTGAGGCTCAGGGCCCAGACGAGGCTCCGGGGGAGCCGAGGGACCAGGGGGATTGGCCATGGCGTAGGGACCTGCAGCTCAGTCCCATCGGGCACTTTGCAGCTCTCACTTCTTCCTGTTCATGATCTGGCTGGAAATCCAGTTCATCCCATCCTGGAGGGAAGAAGGATGTGAGCGCAGGCCCTTGGGCCCTCTCCCAGCTGTGCAAAGCCCACAGGCCCCCATCTCTACCTGCACCCCTTCCCCAGACAGGGCTGAGCAGGCCTGGATCTGCCATTCCCGGTCCCGGTAGGTGTGGAGGCTCAGCCCTTCTGCGATTTCGGCTGCGGGTGCTGCAGTCACCAGGTCCTGCTTGTTGGCAAACACCAGCAGCGGAACCCCCGTGAGGGACTCGTCCTCTGTGAGCTCTGCCAGCTCCTGCCAAGAGAGAAGCTTCTCCCAGGGCTGCTGCCCTCCTCCACAGATACCTCAGCCCTCCAAATGCCTCATCCCTTCTTTCTGGTGCTCGTGGCAGATAAGGAAGCTGTGAGGTCTTGACATTCCAAGGGAGAGAAGCTCCCAAAGGGGCTTCACCTCCTGGAACTCCATCAGACCAGGACCCACATGCAGGGCTACTTGAGGACTGAAACCCTCCCAGCACTGAGAGCCCTGGGCAAAGAGCAGCTGCAGGAGGCTCCTGGCAGTCCCGAGCTGTCTGGCACGCCCACACCGCCGACTGGTGCCAGAACAGCCGGGGCTGGCACTTGGAGTCTCACCTTCCCCTCTCAGAGCTTTATTCCCAGGGTTTGTAACTGAATTTGCTGCTCATAAACCTTTGTTTGGCCGTATCACTAACCTGGTGGGGTGGGATGAGAGCTGGGAACTGAGGGGTCACTTTTGCCAGGGACTGTCACCCCTGTGCTGGGCACTGGAGCATCCCAGTTCAGGGTGGAGCTGGGCCATGGAGTGGGGTATCTCTGCCTGCTAACACACTGATCTTGAGCCTTCCCACAGAGCTCTGGGGACAGCATGGCCCCCCCCTGCAGCACTGCCCCACAACTGAGAGCAGCTTTGCTTCCTCCTCATCCCCAAAGAGTTGGTGCCATACAGATCCAAGCCCCAGGACCCCAGAGCCACCGCTCACCAGACCACTCATACCTGCCCTGTCTCCTCAAAACGCTTCTGGTCAGCACTGTCAATGACATAAATCTACCGTGGGGACAAAAGAGACAGTCAGGGGTTCCTTCTTGCCCATCTGCACAGCCCTTCTGCAGGGCCCACGCAGCATGCACAGGGCTGGGGGTGCTGCCCCACTCACCAGCAGGTCTGTGCTGCCCAGATACTTCTTCCAGTATGGGCGGATGGAGCGCTGACCCCCAATATCCCAAACATTCAGCTTCAAACCGTGGGAGTGGACGCTCTTGATGTTGAATCCCTGAGCGGGGGCACAAACCCTGGTATCACTCAAGGGATGGGTGGGACCTGAGCCCTCCACCACCTCCTATGGCCCCCAGCAGCACCTACCTGTGTGGGGGTGATGGTGCTGACCTCCTCGGACGCCAGGCGCTTCAGCAGCGTCGTCTTGCCCGCGTTATCCAGCCCCAGCAGGACGATGCGGAGCTCCTGCTCCGGGGAACCCTTCAGCTTCTGGATGACAGAGAGCAGCCCCTGGGGGCAGGGGGTGCTAGGGGAGCCCTGTGGGGTGCCGGGTCGCTGCAGAGCACCCTTGTTTGGGAGGGGGGAACTGGGTACACTGTTGGCTTTGGGTACCTTGTGTCTATGGCCTGAATGAGCACCAAGGCCCAGCTCCCAAGGTGTTCATGCTTGGGGTGGCCCCACAGCAGATCTGCCCAGCCCCAATTCCCCCCTCCCACGTGTGCAGTCCCAGCCCTGGGACCACTCCTAGCTCCTGGGCAGGCTGGGGGGACATGCCCCAGGCAGAGCCCTACTCTGCCAGCCCTCCTGGCACCACCACTGAGAGCTGGTGCAGCACACCCCACCTGGAGCCGGTGGGATGTCACCGGACCCCGCTTACCTTCTGCACATCACCCATGGTCTGGGAGTCGCTCCGGCCCGCAGCACCGCCTGGGGAGCTGCCAGGGGCTCCTTCCTGGGGCCTGCCGGCGGCTGCGTGACTGGCACGCTCCCCAGCCCCGGGGGAGGAAGAGGATTACGGGCTCCGGAATTAGCTGCTGTTCCTCCATTTACCCACAGCATTAAATAATGCCCTCGGCAAATCCTCCAGCCAGCTGTCGCCCTGCCGTCGCCTACCCCCGGGATAAACCAGGTCCCCCTGGGCTGGGACACTGGGGCACCGGGCATCCCTCTCCCCGTGGGGCAGGGGTCCCAGCCTGGGAGGATGCTGTGCCCAGGCACGGGGCTGACACAGCCTGCCACACTGGGACACCTCACGTTGAGGCAACACCAGCACCCACGAGCTGTCCCCGTGCAGGGTGGCAGGAGAAATTGCTGAGCCTGCTTGAGGCCACGTCAGCGACTGCCACAGCTCCCCAGTGCTGCCCCAGGGAAACCACCAGGCCCTGGAGCAGCTTGAGGGCTGGGTTGTCAGCAGCTGGAGTTTGGGGACGACACAGGACAGGGGTCCACAGGGGCTCAGACACATTCCTCAGCATCCCACCCACAACCCAGGTGGGGTGAGGGGCTCATCTGTTCTCCGTTTGGACTAAGTGCATTAATTAAGCAATGTCTTTGATTCCTGCATGCTGCAGTTCTGTCCTCAGATCAGGTTTCCCAGCAGAGAGGTTATCCTTGCGGTGAGGACCGTGAGTCACGCACTCTTGGAGAGACATTTTTATTTATAACTCTGGTGGCAAAGCCAAGCCAAACAACACAGCCACACTCCCACAAAGCAAAGGGGAGCAGCCTGATAACCCCTCATCCCACTGTTGCTCCATGCAGTGGCAGGGGGCAAAGGGGCAGCCAGAGGTTCCACCCTCTGTTCCCCCCACCCAGAGACCCTGCCAGGGCTGTGGCTGCTTGTGCTGCTCTGCTTTTTTTGCCTGATCATGGTGGGAAAGCTTCATTTTTTTCTGCATAGATCTGCACCCAACTTAATGTTAGGGTTCTGCTTTTGATAGGTTAATCACCCACCTTATGTCCCCGTTATTAGCATTTCCCTGAGCGGGTTGCCATGGTGCTCTGTGGTTTATCCTGCGCTGCTAGTTACTGAGATTTCCTAACAAATAACCTAAAATATCCTCCACTGGTTTGTGGTTGCTGATCAGCATGGAACCCCGACCTTAGGAGATGGGCAAAACTGCTTAGGCATCAGTTTGGTGACTCCAAGCTGCACGTCCACTGCTCCTCTCTGCCAGGTTCTGCCAGCACACACAGCACAGGCAGCCCTCCCTGGGGCCAGCCCCAGACCCTTTGTGACCAGGGCAAGTGGCACCAGGCTGGTGGCAGCGTGTGCTGGGCCTGCTGATGTCCCTCTGCCCCTGGACCCCCCTTCCCTGGGATGATGCAATGGCCGGGAGAAGCCCCTTCAGGCTGCCCAGACTGCAGGGAGTGGGGACAACAGGGTGGTGACCCCAGGGCAGCACAGCTGTGCTGGGAATGGAACCTGGGATGGTTTTGGGAACAGGGGTGCAGATGGGGATATGGTCACGGATGTAGATGTGGATGGAGACAGGGATGCAGATGGGGATGGGATCACGGATGTGGATGCAGATGGAGATGGGAATAGGGAATGAATGGGATGGGGATGGGAAACAGGGATGCAGATGGGAATGGGATAACGGATGTGGATGGTGATGGAGACAGGCACGGGGATAGGGACGGAGAAGCAGCGGCGCCGCGGCGGCTCCTGGCTCGGAGCTGGAGCCGGTGCCCACCGGGGCGGTGCCGGCGGCGCGGGGCGGGCGGACGGCCCCGCTCCCCCCGCTGCGGTCTCGGTTCCCATGGCGACACTTCCTGTGGGAGCCGAAAGCGGTAGTGCGGTAGTGCCGGGAGCGCCGGGCCGGGCCGGGCCGGGAGAGCCGCGCCGCCGGCCGGGGATGCTGCGGGGCCGCGGGCCGCGCCCGTAGCGAACCGGGCCGGGCCGAGCCAGGGATGCAGGGCAAGGGCAAACTGCTGGTGGTCCACAACGGGCGCATGGTGAGTGCCCGGGGCGCCGGTCCCCATCCCCCGGAGCCGGTCCCCATCCCCCGGGGCCGGTCCCCATCCTCGGGGCTGTCCCGGCCGGCGGCGCGGAGCTCGGTGGCGGGCGGGCGGGTGATGTGCGGGATCGCGGAGCGGGCGGGCAGGCGTGTGCAGTGGACACCCACGGAGGATGTATGGAGTCAGGAAACAGGCGGGAGGGTGTGGGGCAGGAAGGGCAGGATGGGTGTCCAAAGCAGGCAGAGTTGTAGAGGGTTTTTAGGGTGTTTAGGGCTGGGTAACAGGCGGGCAGGCACGTACGGGGCTGGGGTAGTGAGCAGCAGGGATTTCTGAGGCTTGGACAGCGCTGTGAGTGGGGATATGTGGCACTGGGTAATGGACAAGCGGTGAGGGATGGGGATGGGGTGACAGGAGTCAGCAGTGCCGGTGTCTGTGGGGCTTGGCAGGGCTGTGAGTGTGGGCAGCAGGGATGGATGGGGAGGAGCGAGGAGCTGGCGAGACTGAGCGACGTGGGACTGGGCTAAGAAACATGGCAGAGGAAAGTGGGGTGGGGTAGCAGGGAAAGGCAGTGGGCCTGGCATGGAGACAGCCAGGGGGTGTGTGGGGCTGGCAGGCTGGGGGGACGGGCCGGTGACTCAAGGGCATCACCCCAATGTGGGCAGCACTTCAGTGATGGCAGACAGCACCGTGCAGCCAGTGCGTGGCTGGGCTTCAGCTATGAAGACTCTGCCCATCTCCCTGCTTGCTCCAGGTCCTTGGGTACTCCAAGGGTACAACCCAGGGCTGATATTTGGGGTGGCCCAGCGGGTGCTGCAGGACACCCTGTCCTGCTGTGCCCTGGGCTGGCAGCACCTGCTCCCTGCTTTTGGGCATCTGTCCTTCGGTAGCTCCAGGCTCCAAGGAAGGAGAGAACAGGCAGTTTGCCTGCCTGGGGCTGTGGTTCTCCTTCCTTCCCTCCCCTCCTCCCCTCCTCTTCCTGTGCCGTGGAGGTTGCTTCTCTCCTCCCTTCTTGCTTGGGGTGGCAGGGTTACATCTGATAGCATCTGCCCTTTCCCAATTTCTGGCCTGGCCCTAGTCCATGGAGAGGTAGGAGAAAGGCTGTACCCTCTTTGTAACTCTCTACTCACTGCCATGGGTTGGAAGTCCTGTGTCCTGCCTCTGCCACGGGGCAGGTAACACCAGAGCAGTGTTTGCTGACGGTGTCTCTTGCTCTGGGCTCAGACTGGGCTTGCCCTGGTGCTGCTGCCACTCCATCAGGCCAGCAGATGCCATGTAGCCCCTCTCACCTCTCTTCTTTCCACTCCCCCAGGGCCCGGCCGTGTCGGATGGAGGTAAGGCTGCTCTTTGCCCTGGGACGGGAGGCCAGCATCATCCTCAGGGGAGGGGGAAGCCCACAGGCAGCCTGGTGCCAGGGGCAGGGAGCCAGCAGACAGTGAGGACCTGTGTCAGCACAGGCTGTGCCATGGGCAGGTGGCAGAGCCCCTGCAGTGCAGGGCTGAGCCCTCTGCCCAGGACTGGCCATGTCCCCCCATCCCTCCCACATGGCCCCTGGTGCCTGTCCCTCCTTTTGGCTGCTCAGCTGGCACTGTGGGGTGCTGGGGGCTGAGTGGCTTCCTGGGGCAAGGAGAACGTGGGTACCAGCCAGCCCCAGATTCTCTCAGGGAGTCTGTCTGTCTGTCAGTCTGGCTGTGCACTGGGTATCTCAGATGGTTTATTTAACTGTCTTGGCCCCAGTTACTCATGATTTAGACCACCAGAAGGATGCCTGGCAAAGGAGCAACCTGACACACCTCCTCTATTCCTGCCATCTTTGCCAGGAGAGCACTGCTTCCATACCTTTAGTTTCTCTCGCAAATGACCCACCAGTCAAACCAGTTCCAAAGCTGGGGTTGCCCCTGGGAACTTCCATCTTTCTAAATACATGGTCACCCTGGGTTTTCCCCGAGCTGGAAATGACACTTTCTGTGCCCTCCACACATGCTGGGTTTGTCCCTCGTCATGGCCAGAGGAACAGAGAAAGTGGGTTCAGGCACCTCTGCCCATTTTCTAAGCTCCCCTCCACTCTGTGTGCCCTCTGTGTCCCCTTCCACACCACTTTCCCTGCTGGCTGGGAAGAAGCCGTGGGTGCCTTCTCCATGGCTGTCTTACCCCAAGAGATGAGTCACATCGGAGCGAACAATGTGGAGTCACAATGACACCCAGGGTGGGCACAACTGCCAGCAGAGCTGTCATGCCAGGAACTGCCAGCTGTGGCATCCTGGTGCTCAATCTTCCAAGGATGCTCCGTGATGCTCCTCATGTTCCCTACCCAGCACTCACCAGGTCCGATCTAGATGGGGCAGATGGAGGGCTGCTGGTGCTGGGGACAGGGAGACAGCCAGAACTGACCCTTTTTCTCTCTCAGAGTTAAATGCCTCCCGGGCCCGTGGCAGCAACCACAGTGTGAACAGCCTGCCAGGCCCACCGGCCACGTGTGGATCCACACAGGGCTCTGTGGTCAGCTGGGCCGAATCCTTTGAGACGCTGCTGCAGGACCGTGTGGCTGTCACCTACTTCACTGTGAGTGTCACAGCCCAGAGCTCAGTCCCTGCTCCTGTCCACTGTTGGACACCCACTGTCCCACAGCCACAGTGCCACCAGACCAGCAGATCTCTCTGCCTTGCAGGAGTTCCTCAAGAAGGAGTTCAGTGCTGAAAACGTCTACTTTTGGCAGGCATGTGAGCGCTTCCAGCAGATCCCAGCCAGTGACACACAGCAGGTACCAGCTCCGTGCAGCTCTGGTCACATAGCCACTGGGAGGGATGTGGGCAGAGCTGTCCAGCCTGCATGTCCAGGGGTCCTGGCAGACCCCTTTTCTGAGGGGGCTGAGCAGACTGGGGGCTCTTGCAGAAGGAATAAGGAGATGGATGTGATCTGAAAAGCCACAGTGCTTCCCCCGCCTGGGATTGGAGAGTGTTTCTGGGAGGACAAACAAGAAAGACCAAGGGCAGAACTAGACAGG